TCATTTTCTCATTTGTTTTTCACATATGTTTCAATTGGTTCATTCTTCATGGCAATCGGTAGGTGTATGCCAAATTATTTTTCGGTTGTGTCAAACCTAAGATAACTCTAAGTATTCAGTCCCTTCAACTTCCATTCAACAGTTAGACTGTATTCAGTGGTTGAGCCTTGTAAGATATATAAGTATTCCTTATGTCAAGCATTAATCAACTATTTACACCTGTATTGAGGAGATAAATTATTATGTATATATAATCTAACATTAGTATGCTAAACATTAATCACAGAAATGACCCAGTTATTTTTAATAAGTTGTTATCAGGGTACTTAAAAGGTCATTTATCTACAAGCAGAAAACATTAATTAAATCCAGAGTACCACAGGTAAGGAAGCTCACCTTTATTCATTCATATACATAGCTAGTTATTTAGTACAAAAAATGTAATACTCAATAATTTATTACTATTTTTTGATAAAAACTTATCAGAACATTTTTTGTTTGTTTGTTGTTTAATGCTGGACTCAGCAATATTCCAGCTATATGACGGCGGTCTGTAAATAATCAAGTCTTGACCAGACAATCCTGTGATTGACAACTTGAGCATCGATCAATGCAATTGGGATCGATGACATGCATCAACCAAGTCAGCGAGCCTGACCACCGGATCCTGTTAGTCACCTCTTACAACAAGCATAGTCGCCTTTTACGGCAAGCATGGGTTGCCGAAGACCTATTCTAGTTTAGTGGATAGTTGTACCTATTCCAGTCAGTATACCCACAGGGCTTCATTGCCATACAGAACTACCATGTCAACACTATCTTAAGCCTGGGTCCAGCTGTAATTCTTATGGACTGATTCCGCTGACTGTGATATGTAATTTGAAATTTCATTTGGCTCTAATGAGACTCAGTGACAGTTTTATAGTGCAGATTGAAATTTGATGGACTCTGATTAACATTTTCAAGTTCACCTCAAACACAAAAACATTTCTGACTTCTTTCATCATGATTGTATTAGTACAATTCACTTTACGTTTGTTTGTTCTGCTGTTCAAGTATATATATATACACTCATGCCATGGACAGTTACCTAACCCACTTACCATGGACAAGTCTAATTGGGAAAGGACGGGGAAAGATTCAACAAAGTCACATAAATGGGCCCCTTTTAAATAAAGATGAATTGATGTTTTTGTCAAGGGCCAGAAAATGATATGATGAAAACAGGTCATTAAAAGATACATATAACTATTACACTTAAATAGTTTAACTAACAGTTACAAAGGGGTGTTGTACGCTATATGTGGTAAACATAGTTGGGATACATTATTTTTAAGTGCAGATATGACCTGCTTGTAGAGGCATAAATTACGAATATGACCTGCTTGTAGAGGCATAAATTGCAGATATGACCTGCTGGTAGAGGCATAAATTACGAATATGAACTGCTGGTAGAGGCATAAATTATAGATATGACCTGCTGGTAGAGGCATAAATTGCAGATATGACCTGCTGGTAGAGGCATAAATTGCAGATATGACCTGCTGGTAGAGGCATAAATTGCAGATATGACCTGCTGGTAGAGGCATAGATTACGGGTATAACCTGCTGGTAGAGGCATAATTTACGGGTATGACCTTCTGGTAGAGGCATAAATTGCAGTTATGACCTGCTGGTAGAGGCATAAATAGCAGATATGACCTGCTGGTAGAGGCATAAATTACGGATATGACCTGCTGGTATAGAGGCATAAATTACGAATATGACCTGCTGGTATAGAGGCATAAAATGCAGATATGACCTGCTGGTAGAGGCATAAATTACAGATATGACCTGCTGGTAGAGGCATTAATTGCAGATATGACCTGCTGGAAGAAGTATTAATTGCAGGTATGACCTGCTGGCAGAGGCATAAATTACGAATATGACCTGCTGGTAGAGGCATAAATTACAGATATGACCTGCTGGTAGAGGCATAAATTACAGATATGACCTGCTGGAAGAAGTATTAATTGCAGGTATGACCTGCTGGTAGAGGCATAAATTACAGATATGACCTGCTGGTAGAGGCATAAATTACAGATATGACCTGCTGGAAGAAGTATTAATTGCAGGTATGACCTGCTGGTAGAGGCATAAATTACGAATATGACCTGCTGGTAGAGGCATAAATTACAGATATGACCTGCTGGTAGAGGCATAAATTGCAGATATGACCTGCTGGTAGAGGCATAAATTGCAGATATGACCTGCTGGTAGAGGCATAGATTACGGGTATGACCTGCTGGTAGAGGCATAATTTACGGGTATGACCTTCTGGTAGAGGCATAAATTGCAGTTATGACCTGCTGGTAGAGGCATAAATTGCAGATATGACCTGCTGGTAGAGGCATTAATTGCAGATATGACCTGCTGGAAGAAGTATTAATTGCAGGTATGACCTGCTGGTAGAGGCATAAATTACGAATATGACCTGCTGGTAGAGGCATAAATTACAGATATGACCTGCTGGTAGAGGCATAAATTGCAGATATGACCTGCTGGTAGAGGCATAAATTGCAGATATGACCTCCTGGTAGAGGCATAATTTACGGGTATGACCTTCTGGTAGAGGCATAAATTGTAGTTATGACCTGCTGGTAGAGGCATAAATTGCAGTTATGACCTGCTGGTAGAGGCATAAATTGCAGATATGACCTGCTGGTAGAGGCATTAATTGCAGATATGACCTGCTGGAAGAAGTATTAATTGCAGGTATGACCTGCTGGTAGAGGCATAAATTACGAATATGACCTGCTGGTAGAGGCATAAATTACAGATATGACCTGCTGGTAGAGGCATAAATTGCAGATATGACCTGCTGGTAGAGGCATAAATTGCAGATATGACAGAAATGGCATTAGCTGAGCATGTGGTCATTGCACATGCATACAGTAAACTACGGTTATAACAAACTCAAAGGGACCACTAATTTTAGTTCATAATAACCGTAGTTCGTTATAAGCATATATACAACAAATGACCGTGACTAAAAAGTAAGTTCGTTAGAAGCGTGTTTGCTATAAACGTAGTTTACTGTAGTTTCATGCAAAAATATTCATTAGTGTGAGCGTTATGGCTGGGAAACGAAGCCTAGATCTGATTCAGTCTAAATTATTTCCATTGAAACGTAACAAGATAAAATTGAGAATTTTTTTAAAATATCAAAAGGCACCAGTGAAGAGGATTAGCAATGCATATCCCAAGTTTTGTTGGGATATGTTGAACGGTTTTCAAGATATTGCACAGAAATGAACCAAACCCTCGTTTGAGACCAGCATAACCTACTAACCCGAAATTCCCATGGATGTTGCAGTGAATGAATAAAGAGGTTGAAATCCAACATCCACCCTTGATTGATATCACAGTCTCACACTACAACTTAACTGAATTGTTTGATAGGCATTACTTAGAAGTTGACGGATAACAAAGTAGACACACTTTATGGATAACAACTTCTTTAATTACTGTAAAGGCGATGTTTCGGTATAGATCATTGTCAAGCAAGACTGAATGATGATGTTCTTGTTGCATTAAGTGTTTAAGAGGTCGCCTTCTGCCTTAGCAATTTTGGCTGACCTGTCCCTCTTTGGGACTCATGTGTGTGAGAAGGGTTCACATATCTATTGTGAGTTTGCTATTTACAGAATTTTTATTTTGCATTGATATGATTTCTATTTTCGTATATCAATATAATTTCATTTTTATCTTTGGCTGCTCTGTTTATAAGAATGATGAACATGGTACAGAATATATATAGTAGGCGGTAACAACAATTTAATACATGAGAGAGATTAACACGAGTAGGTTAAGTAATGACAACAGAGGGATAAAACTGTAACAACATGATGGACAGAGAACACTTCATTCAGTCTTCCTTGACAACGGTATAAGGATCTATACCCAAACATCACCTTTACATTAATTAAAGAAGTTGTTATCCATAAATTGTGTCTACTTTGCCTTTAACAACTCTATGATAACTTGAAACACTGTGCATGGTTGTTTCTATTTATGTATGATGTCATTTGTAGCTCAGGCCTCTGAAGCATACCCTTCTTCCAAGAGAGTTCCCGCTGGCTTTTGAAACTCTAAAAATTACCAGTCCCCCCTAATTTCTGCTTGTCTAAACTTTCAACAAATAAAAAAAAACGTATGGAAATTATTTGGTTTTAATTCTTTCAACTTCATGTTCAGTGCAAAGATGTCATCTCTGAAGTAACTTACTTAGATCTATATGTCATTCACACAAACTTCAGTCACAAATTTTATTTTTTTAAATATTTTGTGATGAAGTTGTTACAAATGGATATTTAACCTAGAAATAGACAAGGGGAAACCCTGATGGTAACAGACAAGCTGACTTTGTTCGAAAAATATGCTTATATGAATATCACGGATGTTTTGTTCAACAAAAGAGATTGATAAGGTACTTTATTTGCTGGTCCACAAGGACTGGCAGTCACATGAATTACCGGTCCAAGCCTAAAATTTTACCGGTAAACAAGAACGCTGACCAAGCATACTGTTTCTTTTCCTCTATTTGACACTACGCCGTCTATTAATTTCGCGAGAGCCCTTGACTCGGAGTGTATTAGAGACCTGGCTGGTATTAGAAGACCCAGCGTGTATTAGAGGAAATATAGATATCTTTTACAGTTCATATGGGGGTGATCGATCGGCAGCCATTTTCTGTAAATCGATATGTAGGCTATCTATGTATTCATACGCACGTTTTTTGTGTGAAAAGGCTTAATATATTTGAAAGGGGTTTCCGTAGCAAAAAGGAAACCTCTTTTTAACAAATCAGAAGTCATATTAAATTCATGCAATATTTCATAATCATCTAAATTAATAATTGTAAGAAAGATGTAATGACACCAAATGTGATACATGATCTGACACTAAGAGAAGACGTGAATAAGAATGCAGTATATATACTTTAACACTTACCTTCATAATAATCGATCTCTCCCACTACGCAAAAAATGTCAACCATGTTGAATATCAACTGCTACAAAGTGGTTTCATGTCGTAGACAAATAGTATATTTGTTCTGTGTGACTCCTGTAAGTGTTACATATTAGAAATGGCAACAGTATATCACCTTGTGATCAGAATAAACAGCTTTTAAGGACTATTTTTCTAATTATCAGGATCATATTTTTAGCCCCTGAGGCCATGTCGGTCAGACTAAGTCACGTTCATGTTCACAATGCTTACCCTAGATTTCTTAAAGGTATAAACGATAACTCAGTTTGAAGGAGAATATGTTTAATTAAAACATGTTTATATCATTAATTCAAAAGTTTCTTTGATCAAATTGTTTTTGAAAAAAACACACCGCAAATTAACTCCATTATATATATATTTTTGTTATAAATCCCTTGCTCTCTAGAAAAATATATTGGTGTAGATGTAGTGAATTTATTTTCTCTTTTTGATATGTCTTATTTGAGAGTAGGTGAGTGAGTATGGTTTTACACCATTTTTAGCAATATTCCATCCATATGATGATGATTGACACCTGAAATGGGATTCACACATTGTACCCATTAGGGGAATCAGGCCAGGGTCTACGGTGTGACAAACGAATGCTTTAACAACCAGGCTACCCCACCACCCCTCATGGAAGAAAATCTGTCGATAAAATATTTGTGTCAATGGATGTAATAGTGAGCCAGTTTATTTACGAATTAACTTCTATATTCAGAAATGTGGCACACTGTTTTTTCTTACTCTTATAAATAAATATTTCAACAATAATAACTTCACAGACTGCTTATTTATTCATTAACACACACACAAAACTGTAGACAACAACAAATCAGTGCCATCGTTCAGCGCAAAATTGCAACACAAGACCTGTCCATACTATAATCAGTCAATCAGCAAACAATATTTTTTTTCGGTTTATGAAATAAAAAGGCAAACAAAAGTGCTTCATCAGCTAATCAAATATCATAGCATCACTTGCAATTTATTTATGAAACAAAATATCAGCTTCTTGAACATGCTACAGAAAGAAGCCAAATGAGCTCTTATGTACAGACTTGATTATTTTTGTTCTGTGAATGAATAATAATATTTAGTCAATACAACACTTGTGTCTGGGATTAAAACATAACCGATGACATGAACATGCAGAATTACACATGTGTAACTGTAAAGTTATTCACTATTCCTGTGCAGATATAATTCTATATTTCTCCCTACATTCTGCTTTCTTCAAGCAATTCTAACTTTTTCAATATTTTATTTAACCATTTCTACAGGGATTGACATAAACAGTGATCAGGGTGTCAGTTATATTGATGGTCTCAAATTCTCAATAGTGTGGTAACATCTTTCATATATTATATATTAAATATTAATAGCACAAGGTATATTAAAATGTTTTAAATATGTTCGGTCAACTTTGAATAAATACTCAATCTCAAAATTGGCATAATAAATTTTGAGATCATCTATTCTAAGTACTCATGTTAGTTATTAGTCATCATTAGATATTGAAATTGTATTAGAATAATTTAAAGAGAAAGATTTTCTGCACAAGTTTTGTAAGTTTAGTTGCACATTTTATAAAATTATAATACAATATCAACGTTACAACACCATGGCAGACCTAAGTTAATACGTTTTCTACTGAAGAAAAATATCAACAGCTCATGGGGACATCAAATACCCCTAAATAACTAAATATCTTACAAGAAATGTACCTGTTTAACCTCAGATCACATGGCATGAAGTGCATCAATTGTCTGAGGACAACATTCATGTATTGAACACTCTGTACCATAGGCCATCTGGCCTTTAATACGACATAAATGTAACTTGTCCATATTAACACTGAGAACCAAACACTAAAAACAGTATCGATTAGAGTCACAGGTTTGTCAGGATGATAAAAGATACAGTTAAATGAACTGTAAATATGGTAAACACAGGTACTAGTTTGAAACTTGATAAGTTGAGAAGAATCGTCTCACATTTCCGGATGCCAATTTTATTTAACGAAACTAAAACATTGGTCAACCTATTTACGGAATATAAAAATATGTGCCAAAAAAAAAGGGAATTTGGACATATTTTTTCAGCAACAGTTAAATGAAAACCAAACCATGTTTACCTGGCCTGACATAATATACTGGTACCATAGAGTAGATTTAACACAAAGGAAAGAAATATTTAAAAATAAATAAATAAACAAAAAAACACTGGCATGTTTCATAAAAATTAATTATTGAAAGAGGAAACAATTTTTTAGAGTTTATCTGCTCTCAGCTGTTTTTATGAACCATTTCCTCCAAAAATGAAAAGTTTACAAAAGAATTACATTAAATGAGACACAAACACAGTATGACAGACAACTACGTGCACAGCAATAGTCAAATAAAGCAAAAAACATTCTGCAGCAATATGTAACAGCCTTCAGGACTAATCAAATGGAATTTGGAAGAAGGAAATGTATTTGTGGAAAGATGAAACTCTATCCAACATGGATATCACGTTATTCTGCAGCAATATGAAACAGCCTTCAGGACTAATCAAATGGAATTTTGAAGAAGGAAATGTATTTGTGGAAAGATAAACTATATTCAACATGGATATCACGTTATCTTAGCCTCGTAGCATGAGGGGGAACATTTCTTGATTTTTTGGTCTTGATGTGACGTTCATTGTCACTGTCGTCATCGTTCCTGAAGGGCTTAACCTCATCTTTCTTCTTCCTGTGTCGGATGTAGAGAAGGAGCCCCACCCCTGTCAACAGCAGCACCCCGCCCACAGAAGCTCCTGGACAAAGGAAGGGAATGTGGGATACTTCAAGCACATGCTCTTATACGTCAATGGTCAATATTTAATAACCTCCTGAACAGTGTTTTGTTTGTTTGTTGGGTACTGCCGCACTCAGCAACATTCCAGCTATATGACAGAAATAATCGAGTTTGGACCAGACAATCCAGTGATTGACATTATGAGCATTGATCCACGCAATTGGGATACAATGACATGCATCAACCAAGTCAGCAAGCCTGACCACCCGATCTCATTAGTCGCCTCTTACAACAAGCATAATTGCCTTTTACGGCAAGCATGGGTTGGTGAAGACCTATTCTACCCCGGATCTTCACAGGTCTTTCTGAATAGTGAAAGAACTTTGTTGAACTGACTACAGAACATTGTCATGTCTATATTTCATAAAATGACATTAACTGTAGAGGAATGTACTGTTATTAATCAGTCTTCATTTGACCAAATGTTTAAATGTCAGACCAATCTTGTCCCTTGATCAGCAAAAGTTAGTTAATTTCAAACGCCAACCATGTTCATGTTAGAAGTCGTGTTTATATCATTTAACTCATGAGTAATGACATAGTTAAATAACTAGAAACAATTTGCGTCGTCATTTACAATAATTTCAATGAGAGAATCAAAGAGTTTTACATATGGTTTTACATCCCATATCTCTCAGTGATTTTATGAGATCAATTCACATAATTTTCACTGCTGTTCAGACTTTTATGCCCAATGGAATCTGTTTCAGTGGATAATCAAGACTGGTTATTTTGTGGCGTTGACACTATATATTTTCAACTATGCCAAGATTATTGAGAATCTTAACCACACCTATCAATCAAAGAAATCAAAGAAACAACCGAGAAACCATATTCTGTGTCTCAGCTGGATCTGTACGAAGAAATTCAAAATGATGGCAGCCTCTGTACCAGGTTTGCGACATGAGGGATGATTTTGATTTCCCAATTGTCAATTTCCTTCTCATGTCAAGCAAAAATCCATCAGCTTCAGCTTTATCACAGAAAGACACATGTTGCCTACAGCTCATAAAGCCTTTCAGTTAAGGTTTCACCATCAGAACCTGGTTTAGTCATTCCAGAAAGTTTTACAGTAGATATACAGAGGAATTTACTGAATATGACACATTCCTATGTCATATGACACACAGTTTCCACACTGCCTTACTCACTAGCACTTACCGTATTCGACATAATAAGCGCCTAGGGCGCTCTCAAAATTAGGAATAGGGGGCTCTTATTAGAATAAAATTTTGGTGAAAAAAATAGTTAAAAGATCGTAAATTTCGTGGTTTATGCTGACAGCCTGAAATGATACAAAAGAAAAGTCTGTGCGTATTAGACACGACAGATATATTTTTCAAGAATTTAATTACCCATGATATGGGATGCATATAACACACGAGACTGTATTATACACGAATAAATAAGTCTTGTGTACATTGATCAATCGGAAGAGGTGCTAATTGGGATTGTTCACTAGCCAATATATTAGCAAATATCACCAAGGGCGCTTATTAGAGCGGGGCGCTTATTACATAGAATACAGTAATTTCTTTATGAAACTTGAATTGTGAGTGGTGGGTGCCACCTGTACAGAAACTCATATAAACACTTAAAACTATTTGGGTGCTCATAAACCATGGCAGTTTATTTGGAAAATATTTTAAACAAGAAAGAAAATTGGTCTGGTCTTGATTAAAAATTGTAATAGCCTTCTTTTAGATTAGAATGACAGTGAAAAGAGTGAAAAAAATAAGCTAAACACCAAAAAGAAAAAAGTACAATTCTCTTGGTCTCTGAAAAAGGTCCTAACATTTCGTGTATGTCTTTTCCTACCTATAATGATGGGCATGATGTCACTATCAGCAGCAGCTACTTCAACATCGTCTGGCTCCTCCACCTCTACGACAACTGTGGTGTTGACAGACCCTCCAACATTGACGGCCATCACAGTCCAGTTACCTCCATCAGAACTGGAAGCTGTCTGTACGGTCAGAACACTTCCCTCGACTCCGTATCCAGTCTTCTTGTGATCCTCATCCAATGTAGTAGAGTCTGGGACAACCCAGATGGTAAATGGTTCTGGATCTCCCGATGTCTGACACTTGATGGTGATTGTGTCCCCAGTCTGAACAGTGAATGGTCCATTGCAGGTGATTTTTGGAGGAATACATAGCAAATCAGGTGAAGGGATGTCAATAAGGTTCTGGAACTTGAGTCGATCTGGTCCATAGCATTCTACGGCTGTGTGGGATCCTATTTTGGCTGTGGAGACTTGTGGAAGATTCCTCATCCAGTCCAAAGCACAGTTGCATTGCCAGGGATTGTCTGACAAATCCAGATGGTCAAGACTTGACAAGAATGACTGGTAATCTATTGGGAGGATCTTTAACTTGTTGTTACTCAGATCGAGTGTTTTTAAGCTGGTGAGAGGGGTAAGGAGGTCCTTGTGGAGCTTTCTCAGGTCATTTCCATGAAGGTCCAGCACGTGAAGAGAAGTGTCACGCTGGAAGTTTTTCAGATCAATATGACCAAGCTTCATGTCTCCCAGGTAGAGGAAATGCAAGGATGGAATATTTGCAAATGTTTCTGCTTCAACTTTACAGTATTCATTCCCACTAAGATCCAAAGAGTCCAGATTGGGCAGGTTGTCAAAGGTTCCGAGGTGAAGTTGTGATATTTTGTTATCTTTCAAAGTCAGCAATCTCAATTCCTGCAAATCCTGAAAAGCGTCAGCATCAATGGTCGTAAGGGCTGTGTTTGTGATAATGATTGTGTGATAATCTTTGGCATTTTTAACATCTTGGCGTTTCAGGTGGGTCAGTTTGTCAAATGGCACTGACGGTGTTCCAGATATGGCCAGTGTTGTCATGTCTGTTGGCAGACCATTAGGAATGGTCACCAAGTCAGTGTCCTCACAGGTCACTATCATAGTCTGTGTGTTACAGTTGCACTCCATGGGGCAGCTTCTACTATCAGATGCAACACCAGCGAAGACAGAGATAAGGAGGCTCAAACATACAGCCTTTCCCATCATTTTGAATTCAGTGTCACTCTCTGGAAATGACCTGGATGAACTTGTTCCACTTTCAAAAATTCAAACAAAACACTTAAGAGCCATGATGAATAATATTTTTTTCAAATAATTTTTCATCCTGATAAATGTTTTCCAGTTGAACACAAATTCTTCAAATGTTTGGTAAAGCAGTAAAAGTTTATAAAGATGTTAGTAGACTCCAGAAAGAGCAACTGAACCAGTCAATACACAATTTCAACTGAAAAAAATCCAATTACTTCTCCAGTTGGGAAGCCTGAGGTATCAACACAAGGGCAAACCAACACATATATCATATATGCCACTCTATGGCAAAATCACAAAGTATGTGTTCCACAATTTCAGTCAAGAACTTCACTTTTTCTTTCATCAAGCACAACTATGACTTGTTCAAGAGCAATGCTGGGAACTCATATGAAGTTATCCAGTCAAGTGACCAAAGTAAAAGGCTTGGTTCCTTTTATCTAACCCTATCATTTATATCCAGAGGTAGGGAAAATCTTAACAGAATCTATTAAAGATCTGATAAGCCCAACGCCTACATACTAAGTTCGAACTAGAGACAGTGTCTGAATCTACCTGCTGAAGTAGAAGGGCACAGGCTCAAAGCTTCCAGCATTGTCAACATGTAAAAGAGTACTTGATGTTCAATGGGTACAGATTATGCGGATATTATGCTGTATTTGGCAATTTGATAAATGTTCCCATGTAGCAGAGCTTAACATGTCTACGGAAAGAGTAGGTGTGTTATAATGATAAGATTTCTTTGATTAATTGATGAATTTTGACAGTGGGATATATTTACTGTTGACTAAATTTCAGTTCATGGCACCCATAGTATTGGATATGGGGATTATGTATGTTAGGGCAACCTTTTTATATAAGATGGTGAGGTGAGGTGAGGTGAGGTGAGGTAAGGTGAGGTGAGGTGAGGTGAGGTGAGGTGAGGTGAGGTGAGGAGAGGTGAGGTGAGGTGAGGTAAAATGGGGCCCTGTGAAACAATACAATGGGAGAAAACTAATTATAATAAATGTTTGATTTATTTTAATAAAAGCGACAAAACCCCTTCCATATTCATAAGAAATCGCTACCACTATCATACAGTGTTTATGAACCACTAATAAACAGGGCCGATACCATGTACCAGGTGAGATGAGCGTATATCCTGCCCCACCGATGGCACCCATCACAAAACCATGCAATGGCAAGTCAATCATTCACCTGAAAAAACATGGGTACATATGGTACAAGTCAAAATAGAGAATTGCATCACGAATGCATCAAATTTGAACATGTTCTCCACATGTCAACCATAAAATGTTCTGACAAACTTTACTGAGGCATTGAATGTTATTACCTTGATCAAACAACAGCAAGAGTCGTATGACAATCTTGGAAATCTTGGTGAAAAGAGCATGCTTGATTGTAACTCAAAAATTGTGAACTGTAAAACATCCAAGGCTGGACTTGTAGGAATAGTGCTCGGCACAAGGGGAAAGTTGACTATTTGAAAGTTGAAATTGAAGCCCTATTGCCATACAGTCTGGTGGAGAGTGTTCTGTCACTCTGAATCTTTATGAAGAAATCTAGAGATGAGGCGGTCTCAATGGTCTCCTTTGGTCTCCTTTATTTCGAGTTCATGTGGGTAAATGAGTGGAAGGGAATTGCCTATTTGATGGTTATTGAACATTATCAGATCCCCGATATACCTGAATCATAAGTTAATCACAAGAACTGGAACTCACATTTTTCAGCAAAATCTGCTGACCTAAACATACAGCATGCATATATTCAACATCACCACTGGTTTAAATACGAAGCCGTGGGAGCCGTGCTAATTTACACTTGTCAGAGGGTACACAAATGATGTGATCTAGACTACCAGTTGTCTGACTTTCATTTCTTGTGGAAGCCTCGGTGGCTGAGTGGGTTAAATCGCTGACTTTGTGTGCTGGCGATTAGGTGCCTCACCCTGGCAGTGTGGGTTTGAATCATGAATGGGACTCAACCCCCAAAAAGTACGAGAATCTGTTCTTTACAAAGAAAGTGTTATCCCAAATATAACATTTGTTATAAACACTAAGCTATTTCCAGCAAAATATAAGATGTCCTTATGGAAAAATATCTGATAAGCTGGCAGGAACTTTAATTGAAAAATAATGTTCATACTGGCACAAGCAAACTCCATACTTTTAGGATTATTGCCAAAATTATTGCAAATACGATCACTATAGCCGGATATTTCTTACGATGGAACAATTTGACCAGTCACCGTCCAGGCGCCCGTGCTCACGATCTTGAAAACTTTATGTGGACATATAATAGTCAAACGACAACAAATATAACTTTTAACGTGTCAAAGTATGGCTTTTATGATATATGTATCCATTTACTGTGAACTAAAGCTCCTTTTATCACCAATGACCCATGTCATTCAAACCTGGGGTTTTCAACCTAAAATTAAACCTTTTTTGCCCAAACAAAATAGTTCCCTTAGGTAAAAATTCATGTCCTCTGATACCTACTTTTGAGTAGGGCTGTGTATTGACCTGGATTGTGTATTGCAATATATTGCCATACTTTAACCTGTATTGCGATACGTACTGCAATATATTGCCAATTTACATTTTCATGAGTTAATCAGAATTATACCCTGTATTAATGTCAGATACCATCAAGCACCTTCCAAGCACATGACACCTTCGTTATATTCTCAGTATAGAAAGCTCTGCAAACAGGCTATCGCTGTGAAGAGCTTGAAAGATGCGATGTGTACACGCTAATTGATAAAAAGATCGTCAGAGGCAAGTTGTATTAGAGTAATATTCTATTTTCCATCTCCATATCGATTAGGAACACATAAATATACTTATTTATATTTGCCCCAATATATTGCTACATCTATAAACGTATCGCAATACTTATTGCTGAAGATTTGCACCACAATATACTGGTGTACCGGTTATACCGCACACCCTTACTATTGAGTAACACACAAGTGACAGACACCATTCGGATCTTCCCCAGCTGTACATTCTTCTGCTCTGCAATCAGACACTAACCTGTCACATTTCTCTTTGATGCAAAATAAATCTTCAACACTTTCCCTTTTTATAACAGTTCGTGTCAATATTTATTGAAAATAATTCTAAAAGGTCAGTGACATTTATCAAAGGGTGTAAGTTATACCAATACTCAGTTGGCGTCTATCAAAGGCATGGGGTCGACATCCTTACCGTATTTAGACTGTATATTAAATGGCACATGTTATCAATCAAAAATTGACAGAGCAGATTCATAAACTGGGCTTGTAGAATTACTGCCAAAATTAGAAGCGTAAGTGTCAACATTTATCAACTTTTGTTACAATGTTAGTATCTAATTAAAAATATACAGCAACATCTGTTTCATATCACATAATTTGCAATTCAAAAGGTATTGAAAAAACTGAAGTATACTAAATATGATATTGATATTGCAAAGAAACAAAGATAACATTTTTAAGTTCTTAGGAATTCTAAATTGAAGGTAATAAAGATTGCACAGTTGTCAATTTCTGCTCTGTGTCATCCCCGATAATTCAGTGTAATATATCTCTATCATATAAGGATAAATATCCAAGAAATAGCCTTGCCTTTCCATACAAACAGAAGCCTTGTAGCATAAGATGCCTTCCCCTGTCTTAAAACATCTTTTCCAGCTGAAAGTTCATTTATTACAGTCTTTGGATAAATACAGATGCCTTATACATGTACTCGTAAAAAGATTTTAAATGTAGATCCATGCCAAAGTCTGAACCAGTCAATCCAGTGATAGATACTGTGATGTTTGTTTATTGTTTAATGCTGCACTTGGCAATATTCCAGCTACATGACTGCTGCCTGTAAATACTCAAATCTGAACCAGACTATCCAGTGATCGATATTGTAATGTTTATTTATTTATCGTTTAATGTCATTTGTTATTAAATTTCAGAGTTCAAAGATGGGAACTAGCATGGCAGAACATACAGTCTAAAGGGAACATGAATGTTATGCTATTTGTAGCTATTAATAGCCAAGCGGAAAATACTAGAGAATCTGCGTAATATGTTTTTGAATAGATTCTGTTATTCACATGTTTTTACACCAACAAAACATGTAATGTAATGTATCAAATGTAGTAAAGGGGTTGTAAATTGATGTATTGTACGTGGGCCTTGTTTCAGGGGGCAATACTGTATTGCCGTATCACACCACTAATACTATCCCCACATGTACTGGGCCCCGTTCCCCAAAGCGATCTTAGCGCTAAGGTGATCGTAAGCCCCAATTAACATAGGCTTACGATCATCGTAGCGCTAAGATCGCTTTGAGGAACGGGGCCCTGGACTTATGACCAGCTTCTGATGATTTAGGGTAGGGTGTCGCAAACAACCAAGTGACCTCATCTATTTAATCAACTTTTAGGCCAAGCATTGATTGCTGGGGACCTATTGCAAGCAGGAGTCCCCAGAGGGAACATTTACAATGATACGCAATTAGCCAGTAAGCACCTCAGGTCCCGTTCCTTAAAGTGATCTTACTGCTAAGACTATCATAACCCATGTTAAAGTATCGGAAGGAGCTACATGTATGATCGTCTTGGTCCTTTGACGAATGTGACCTTGATTACCTAATATGACAAGCATGAGGTGATGGGGCTTATTCTTTTCCACAATATCCACAGTGAGGGCATCTTTCATGAAGAAACACAGGTAAGATCTGTGAAGCCATTTATATTTTATTTGTTGGTTAACAAAACCCATCAACATAAAAACATAAATAAGAAGAAACCAATTGTCTTTGACAAATATTTTTCAGGACAACACTGTCACAATTAAGCGATATTATTTCGGTATTCTGCAGAGGAAAATTTCACAAGTGTTTTCATTCATTTAAGTTAATTTGTAAGTTAATTTGTCAAAATCCTCTATATAAGGCCAAGTAATTCGAAAGTTAATTTGTCTTAATCCTATAAATAATGCCAAAATCATACCAGAAGCAAAAGGACGCAGCACCATGGCACCGTAGCTCACCTTGTGTATTCAACGTTTTAAAGTTTCAGCAGAAGAAGCGACTTGAGACAGTACTCTTGTCAGCATCAAAACTGAATTTCAGGTATTGTGATTGTTAGGTTTCAGATGGATATTCCTGTAAATTTGAAAAAGGAAACATCAAGTTTCCCGATAGGCTGATATGACCAAGAGTTGTATAGCACCATGCTTGATGTTTTGCCTATCTTAGGCCATGAAACATGTCCTCATCATGAATATTTAAATTTTCAAGTGCCCAATTTCCCTAATCTACTCACAGGATAAGGTCAAAGCACATAATACCCGTGAAGATCTGGGGTAGAATAGGTCTTCTGCAACCCATGCTTGCCGTAAAAGCAACTATGCTTGTAGTAAGAGGCGACTGATGGGATCGGGTGGGCAGGCTCGTTGGAATATTGCTGTGTGGCGTTTAAAAACAAACAAACAAAACAAACATCAAACCACATAAGTTGAATCAACAGTAAAAACCTCTTATGTTGATCTCTAATACTG